TTATAATGTTGGATTAGCCATAAAACCCTCAAAACCGAGATTACCTTATGTTAAATGATTTTAGCCTCAAATATATTTCTACATACAAAGTATTTCTAAAAAATAGCTAATGGTTTAGTAATAATTTCTTTGGACTAAAAACACATTTTTGGACTAAAATGTGAAAAATACAAAAATTAAGGGCCAAATTGACAAATCACGAATTCTGATGGATGAACTGTGTCAAAACAGTTTCAATAAAACAATTTCTGGAAATATACTCATTTAGAGGATTAAAAACATAAATTTCAAGCTTAATGGGCTAAAAATGACATTTTGGCCCAATGAGGCCCATTATGCGAAATTTTCTGTTTTGGAGGGCCAAAACTGTTTTTTCTGTAAAACAGTGGACTATAAGTGATCCAAGTCCTTTTCAAAGGTTTAAAATGCTTTTTAAATTTAAAAGGGACTAAAGTTGAAAAATTTTACAATTTGGGCCAAAATTGTCAAACTTTCGAAAAAGAAGGGTTATAACCGAAAAACTGAAATTCAGGGACTTAAGCTGTTTTCTATGAAAAATATGCTGGAAAATACTTATTTCAATAATTTTTGGTATTAAAATGTCAAGAAAATTGATTTAAGGACCAAACCGGAAAGTTTTAAATAAAGGGTTGAAAAAGTAAATTTTTACAAATAAGGAGGGGCTGAAAACAAAAATTTCAAGGCTATTCAATACATGCAATTTGACCAAATGATGGTACCACGACTATCGACGAAATACAATACATTACAACACCAAAAGTCGTTGTTAAACGAATTGGTTCGGTCTCGAACCAATAAAAATCCGAAACTACTAACACGACGACACTATGACATTACGACATTACGATTCATAACTAATAACGATTGGGAATTCATATACATGCGAGTGTGCACAGACGTCTACGCACCATCTTTGGGCCCCAAAAGTGTAAAATCTTGTTTGTTGAGCCTAGCTAGCCCAATGACCTGATCTTAAGGCCCGAAGACCTCTCTCTTACGAAGTGTTGGGTTTTACCGATCCGACATAACGTAAAAGGACTTTCAATGGCTTGTATACTACTGGTCCCCAAGGGTCCTTTGGTATTGCTAGTAAGTCTACCTTTTCATGCGAGGCGGGTCTGGGACCCCTCGTACCTTTTTATCCCCAACCGGCTAATGGAGTCATCGAGGCCTTCGTGTCCTCGTTCTCTTCGGGTGTGGGACTACACGTAGTCAGGGCGGTTGGATAACGTGATTAGTACGGACGACGCCTACGGGATCGTTAGTATTGCTATAGACTAGTCGTTTGTGTAACGTGTTTTGTAGCAAATAATCATGCTCAAAAATAATCCAACGTCGCCTGGTACGATAACTTCACACGTTGCAATTGTTTCAATGTACGTTCATGTAATTCAAAGAATTAGGAAAACATCGGGTTTTCCTAGGGTATTTCAATACATACGGATTCGGAATGCACACAAATTTTAAATGAACAATTTTTACAAGTATAGAAACAAACAAGCATACCTATGGATCTTCACACTTTTTGACTTTACTATTTTCAGAAAATATCGGATTTTCTGGTGTTTTTTTTTTTCAAAACATTACAAACATTGGATTTCAAACATTACTTATGAACTCACCAACATTTCATATGTTGACGTTTTTCAAAATACTTGTATTCTCAGGTAACAGATAAAGTGAATGATGAATTGTACTCTATGACGTTTTGCTGTGGTTTAATTTAGTATCAAACAGTTATTTTCGAGAATGTAATATTTTGGGAACAATGTAATGGATGTAAACGCTACCAGTTGTATCATTCCAAATGTTGGTGATGTATAATGTTATGTTTCATGTATATTCATTGTGATGGTATTCAATTGAGTCACGACAGCCCTCGGACGTTTCCGCCGTCTGGTTCGGGGGTGTGACACTTTGTGCTTACAGTTTTGGTTTTAGTTTCAGGTACCTCTTCCTCTAAGGGGAAGGAGCCGACGGTGTATCAACGCATCACACACACACATGGTTTCCGCATTGGGTTTCTAGGATTGTACTCTGATTTTCATTACTCTTGATGTCATGGTTTGGGACACAACATTATGATTTTGTAATGTGTTGCTTTATTGACAATGTTATGGTAAAATGTTTTATAAAGTATTAATTAAAAAATGAAACTTTTTGGTCTCGAAATTTGGGATGCTACATTTCCTTATGGCGTAAATCACTTTCCATATAGAGTCCAGGCCCATCAATTGGTTGAGGCTCACCAATGATTTCATTCTCTACCTGGTTCGCATTCTCTTTGCGGCTGGAGAATGGGAAGATGTTTTCCAGAAACTTGACATCACGGCTCACGACTATTTTTCGTTTTTCTAAATCATAGATTTTGTAACCCTTTGTGCCGAAAGGGTATCCCAAAAACACCCCTGCCTTTCCTCGTGGAGCAAATTTTTCTCCCTTTGTTTCAGTGTTCCGAAAGTAAGTCAGACAGCCCAATACACGCATGTGCTCATAAGGAGGTTCTTTTCCATACATTATCTCGTATGGTGTTTTGTATTTGATTACCTTGGAAGGTAATCTGTTGATGATATAGGCAGCTGTTTAAACACATTCCCCCCAAAACCTTATGGGTAACTCTCCTACAAATCTCAAGGCACGCGCTATTTCCAAGAGGTGTCTGTGCTTTCTCTCCACAACCCCGTTTTGTTGAGGGGTGTGTGGACAGGTTGTTTCGAGCTCAATGTCGTGATTAGCATAGAAGCTTTTCATGTGATTGGAGGTGAACTCTCCTCCATTGTCACATCTGATTCGTTTAATGTTCTTCTGAAATTGCGTTTGGATGAGATTATAAAAACTGATCAAATAATCACTTGCCTCGTATTTGTGCTTGATTATGTAAATCCAAACAGCCCTACTATAATCATCGACTATAGTGAGGAAATAATTTCCATGTGTAAGTGAAAATGTTCTATAACCACCCCAAATATCACAATGAATCATGTCAAAACAATCATTCGCTTTTATTGTACTTGTAGGAAAAGGGAGTCTAGTTAATTTAGCTCTCAGACATGAATCACAAAAAACTTCCTTAAAGTTACTACTAAATTCCTTACATAAAGAAATATGAGATAATTTTTCATTTGATGGGTGACCAACTCTTTTATGCCATTGATTTGTGGTAGTGACTGCCATAGCTCGCCGGCCTTCTTGCATGATCCCCATTCTGTAGAGTCCACCAATGCACTTACCCATTCCAATCAAGCCCCTCGTCCTCAAGCCCTGTATGACAAAGAAATCCGGAAAAAAATAATGGCACAATTCAAATTTCTTGTTAGTTGGCTGACAGATATAAGGTTGCATTTGAAACTTGGTATATAAAGGATTCCTTCAATTTTAATCCCTCCTTTAAAGGTAAGTTCACCGTTTCCTTTGACGGGAATGGTTTCGCCATTGGGAATGGTGACTGGCAATTCTCTACCTCCCGTAGTGAGGTTTTCAAGAAACTCCCGATTATAAGTCATACATTCGGTTGCCCCCGAGTCATTTATCCAGTCACTTTCATCATTAAATTTACCTTTCATGTTTGCCTTCGGGGTGTTGTTGGGTTTGTCGTTGCTGCTCTTGCCGAGAATCTTTAGAAGCCTTTCATATTGTTGGTCGCTCAATCCTGGCATCTTGTCAACGCATGTTTCTGCTAAAGCTGCCTTTGGCTTCACCATCTCCTTTTTTCCTTTCCCTTGCCACCTTGGTATCCGACAAGCTTGAAGCACCCGTCTCTAACGTGTCCATCTTTGCCACAAAAAGTGCAGTGTCTGGATTTGTTGTTAGAGCTTGTCTTGTCGGTCTTTTGCCAGCCCTTTTTGTGATTTTGATTCTCACGACTGACTTGGTACGAGGCTTGGAAGGCAGCGGCATCTGGAGTGGTCGTGATCTTTCTTCTAGCAACAATATTTCACTGTTGTTCATCCTCTGCTACCAGATGGTAGGCTGTCCCGAGGCTTGGCGTCAGCTTGGTAGCCAGTATTTGGGTCCTCATGACTAAAAATTCGGCATCAAGACCCATTAAAAACTCCTAGAGTCTTTCTTTTTCTTTGAGTTCGGTAATTTTCTTTTCCATATTACACTTGCAGCCATCGCATTCACATCGAGGAGTCGGCAAAATGGAGTCTATTTCATCTCATATACCTCTGAGTTTTGTATGTAGGTTGAAATAGAGGTCCCTTCTTGACATGTCTGTGTAATGGATTGCTTGAGTTCATATCATCTTGGAGCACTTTCCTTCCCGAATCTTTTGTGTAAGTCATTCCAGATTTCGAGAGCAGTGTTAGCATACTTCACATTGCTTCGTATCTCCTTGTCCATGGCGGTAGTGAGCGATCCTTTGATCATGGCATCACACCTCATGCACACCATATACTTTTCGTTACTTCTGTCGGGTTTAGGGAGGGTGCCATCAACGAAACCAATCTTATTCTTTGCGAACAAAAATTTGGTCATCTCTTGACTCCAATCATTGAAGTTGTTGTTAGTGTGACTCTCGTTTACTTGGAGCTGGTTCGGATAGTCAGGGTATTATTCTGAGATTGCATCGATCGGTTCTGAATTGGTTTTGGATTTGCTTGGGTCATCGCCTGCCATGACAACGATGGTTGTTTATGGTTTTGATGTTTCCGAAACCCGCTCTGATACCATGTAGAATTTGATAACCAGAGAGATGGAATGGAACGTATTTTTCTCATTATCACCAAGCCAATAGAATAGTTCTTTAAATACAATCCAGGAAGGCATAACTGAACAATCCTTAATCAAAGGAAATCATAAAAGATAAATATCATAAAAGATAAATATGAAAAACTGATAAATAGGATAATGACTATCTGCTAAGAAATATCGGTTCCAATATCCTCTCTGTGATCGTTGATCACATTCATCTCGTTCTTCCATTCATTCCTAACTAAAAGACAAATACTATAAATATGATCAATCTTTATTGTGTAGTAGAATTGTTTGTTATTAGAAGACATAATATTTCACGCATATGTATATATGGAAAAAGTTGATAAAGTTTTCATCATTACATCAGTAAGAGAGTAACACAGTTGGAATGTTTTATTCAAGAAATAAACTCAAATGTCAAAGAGAAAATTACAGTTGCCTTTATTTTCTTGGTTCATCTCTTCTTTATTTTCATGCCGATTAACCTGTTGAAGCACCCACAAACACCCATTTATATGAACACCTAGAAGAAAAGCATTTAAAACAATTAATATTACCTATATTATAAAGTTTTTCAATAAAGGGGCATAAGATTAATTCTTTCTATGAAATGTTAAAACAATTAAACAATCATGTTACTTGCTTGATAGGTAATGAATCTATGAACAAAACATTAAAACCAGTTTGCAAAAGCAATCAATCGTAATAACAAAAGACATCATACGAACAAAACAAACATGGAAACTATGGCGCAAGAAGTGGAAAAAGAAAGGGTTTTTCATACTGCTGCTGGAAAATAAGAGGCCGCCGTATCACAGGCGAGGCGGCACCGACAGAGGCTGCCGAAGGCATAGTGCAAAATAAGCTTCTTCCCCTCAGATCTTCCTTTCTCTATTCAGGAAAATTAGAAAACGGATCAAACTTTGCCATTCTTTGCGGGATCTGTACAAAAGAATTAAGCTTCTATTATAAATAGTATATATTTTACCAGATGTACCCCTAGAGATCCCACATATGATTACAATAGCACAAAAAGGCTTAAGGGGTATTGTAAATTACAAAAAAGGTAAATGTACATTGTACAGCATCTTGCTTACCTAAACTACATAGCAGTTCTAAGAGGGTGACCATGAAGGTTGGTTGCTAGGACTGGAGCTGCCACCACTGATAAATCATCTATTGGTAACATCCCCTCCAAATTTTTGTAAACTTGTTCCTTTAAAGCTTCCACCATAGACTGCAAAACATACTACAAAAATTTATTTTATGCTAAAAAATGATTAGGGTTTTACTAGAAAGAGTTGAGGTATGAAATACAAACCTTTTGGGAATCAGTAAGTTCATTCATGGAGAGATGATTTTCGCCATCAAAGGTTGCACCCACAACCTCCATAACAGAATTGAACAAAATACCAATCCTATCTTTATTACTGTTGTATATGTACAGCTTCTCGTCTAAAACACATGCCTTTGCGTGCTTGATAATCTTCTTACACTTGTCGCTATCCGGCCCACCAAGTAGCTTTATTATCCAAATTAAAATTATAATCATTCCAGACAAGTTCATAAAAACATATATGGAAAAAGAATTATGAAGTATCTCTTACCCGACAAAGCAAGGACTCATTAGTATTATACATTTGTAGAAAGTCTTTCACAGTATTTATTTTGTGTGATGACAATCGTTGATACAAATCCCCCCTTCTTGCTATGTTGTTCAAGCGCCAAGTGGCATCACTCAATGCTGGAGTATTATGTTTCATGTATACTGAATCAAAAAAAAAAAAAAAGGCATTAGCAAGAAATGTAAGGTATATTAAGTATCAAAGTCTCGTTTCCTAGCAAATGATGATAACATTAAAAGGAGACGGGTGGTTACTTCCATCCTCGACCTAAAAAGGCACATGTAGGAATGGAGGACATCAATCTTCGAAGTCCCAAAATCTGATAGGTGATTTGATGAAAACTTATAACAACATTTCCTTGTGTAAAAATAGTAATCTATAAGTCATTACTAGATTTTCTGACAGAAATTTACTGATTTATTACCCCATTACGGAATAAGTGTGACATCTGACCCTACATCCATACTAATAGAAGTTGTTGACTTGACTACCACAAAAATGTTTTATACCAGATTTTGTGGACTAAACTTAATCAAAAAGGGACAGGCACGAGGTTATTCAACTTGAACATATTGTAATAGTCTTAAAGGGGTGGTATAATCATATGAATTACTGTTCCCTTTGAGTCAAGAATATTGTATCATTATCAATAGAAAAGTTTTAGAACGTAAAGACGGTAGAAAAGATATATAAACATAAAATGGGGGCTTACATGTTTCTCGCTTGTCTTTTACCATGAATACTTGGCTTCTTGCTTCTCTAATTCTGACTCCAGGAGTTGCATTTTTGGTTTTTGCCCCTAACCTATACTCCCTGCTCTTACTCCAGCTTGAATAATGAGTAAAAACTACATTACCTAAAACAGCAACTCCATTTTTCAGCGTCACCACCAAATCCCCTCTCAGCAACGGACGTTTGCCGTCTCTTGAATAGATAATTTTGGCATCAAAATCACTCTCAGACCAATCTTCATGGTCATCAAAAGGAAAATCACCATCAAGAGGAACAAGAATTATCTTCTGTGAAGATAAGGGTCCAGATGACACAATCTGATTAGAAATAGCATCAAATAACACTACTTTTATACCACTCTTGTCCTCAGATTCTATCTTTTGTCCAGTAAAAAAGATGGGAAGCAGCCTAGTCTGGAAACGAAGCTGCAGGGATGTTGTACCATGCGATGCAAGTGCACCAGAAGGAGATCTATAAATGAAAAAAGAAATGCACAACTATTACAGATGCCAAATAAAAATAAACTGTTGCCCACACACACACAGACTGTAAAAATCATCTTATGCTAAAGCATGCATCAAAATCTTATTATTAGCCGAAGATATCTTTCCTCATATTGAGGAAGTATTGTTATAGTTGATAAACTCTTCATTATAGATAGCGATAGGATATTGTATAAATATGAATTGTAAATCATTGGAATGATACGGGAAAATTATCAATTAACATGGTATCAGAGCACAAATATCATTAACCCTACTTCGCCTCCTGTTCTTCCCTGTACGCCATTTTTTTTTTCTCTTCTTCTTCTTCAATGGACCCAAAATCTCACCCAACCATCACAGTCACAAATATACGGAACTTCATTCCGTTTATACTGGAGATGGAGAGTGGACAGTACACCTCATGGGCAGAATTATTTCGCATCCATTGCAGGGCTTTTCAGGTTGCAGATCACATTGATTCTACCGTCATCCCTCCTTCAAAACCACCTTCTTCTTCTTCTTCTTCCTCAATCTCAACAGAAGCTGATAAAACCTCCACTGAAGCCGACAAAACTAAAGCATCTGAGTTTGCAGCATGGTCACGACTCGATGCTATTGTTCTCCAATGGATCTACAGCACAATTTCTAATGATCTGCTGCACACAATTTTGACACCAAACACCACTGCGTGTCAGGCATGGACTGCCCTTGAAAACATTTTTCAAGATAACCAGAGCACTAGAGCTGTCTATCTTGACAGCAAATTCGTCTCTACAAAACTTGATCAACACCCTAACATCTCCTCCTATTGCCAAGCCATGAAGATGCTTGCTGATCAACTGGCAAATGTGGGAAACCCGGTTTCCAACCAACGTCTTGTTCTTCAACTAATTGTTGGTCTCAATGAAAGCTATGAAGGGGTCGCGATGATCATCCAGCAAACAACACCCTTACCTGATTTCTATGCAGTTCGCTCCAAACTCATCATGGAAGAAGCACGAAAAGCTCATCAGGCTGCTGCCACTGCTGTATCCCTAACCGGAGGCACCTCCGCTACCGCCTTGACTGCTTCAGCACCAATGACTCATCCAAATTTTGGAGATAGCAGCCGCCTTAACCACCAACAGGCAGATCCCTTTACCTCTCGTGGACGCGGACGGGGTCGAGGAGGACGCGGTCGTGGACGATCTTCCAACGGGCGTGGACGCGGTACCAACAATAACCAAACCCAACAGACATACAATCGGGGGTCCCGTCCCTATCAGCCATGGACTACACCGCCACCATGGGCTTTTCCCAACTATACACCATGGGCTTACCCCCCTTGCCCATATCCGACTCAGCAATATGGATCTTCCAGACCTCCATCAGTTTTCACCGGGATTCTAGGCAATCGACCTCAGCAGGCCTATCCGGTATCAGAAATCAGCCACACACCAACCGATCTTGAGCAAGCTTGTCACACAATGGCATTACACCCACCTGATCAGACTTGGTATGCTGATACCAGAGCAACGTCACACATGACTCCCAACACAGGTAACTTCACGTCTTATATCAATAATGGTCTTTCTCAGAATGTTATTGTCGGTAATGGTTCCACTATTCCAATTCAAGGCACCGGTAATCAAACACTTCCTTACCCTCTTCCTCCTTTTATTCTAAAAACACTCCAAATGTCATTAAAAATCTTTTATCCATTCGTCGCTTCACTATTGACAACAATGTTTCCGTAGAATTTGACCCAGTTTGGTTTTGATGTGAAGGACTTCCAGACGCGGACTCCAATCCTCCGTTGCAATAGTACCGGTGCTCTCTACCCTTTCAAGCTCCAGTCAAATTCCCAAGTTACACAACCTTCTACTTTTGCTGCAATTACAAGAGACCTATGGCATCATCGCCTTGGCCACCCGGGCGCGGATGTTTTATCTTCTTTACGTTCTACTTTAAATTTTCCTAGATCAAAACCTTTTTCTTCTGTTTGTCGTTCTTGTGTGTTGGGTAAACAAATAAAACTTCCTTTTATTACTTCTCAGTCAATAACTCATTTACCTTTTGACATTATTCATACGGATCTATGGACCTCCCCTGTGTTAAGCTCTAGTGGTCACCGCTACTATATTTTATTTTTGGATGACAAAACCAATTATTTATGGACTTATCCTCTAGCCAATATTCCCAAGTTTTTTCCATCTTCATCCAATTCTTTGCTATGGTCAAAACACAATTCCATTACACTATTAAAACCATACAATGTGATAACGGTCGTGAGTTTGATAACCATCAATTTCACAATTTTTGCTCTCAAAATGGCCTTCAATTCCGCTTTTCTTGTCCGCACACATCTCCTCAAAATGGAAAAGCTGAACGTAAAATACGATCCATTAATAATATCCTTCACACTCTTCTCACCCACTCAAACGTACCCATGCATTTTTGGCACCATGCCCTCCAACATGCTACGTACCTGTTAAACATTCTTCCCAGCAAACTTATTGCCAATCTAACCCCTACACATCTTCTATATAATCTTCAACCCTCATATTCACACCTCCGTACCTTCGGTTGTCTATGTTACCCACTTACTCCATCTCCCACCATCCACAAACTCCAAAAACGTTCCCGACCCTGCATTTTCTTAGGCCACCCCATCAATCACCGAGGGTACAAATGTTTTGACATGCAAAATAAAACCATTATTATATCCCACCATGTAATATTCGATGAAACTATTTTTCCCTATCTTAACCTATCATCACCGACCCCTACAACCCAACTACCATCAGACCCACACCCATTATGTGGTCCGACTCCATTCAACCAACCCCCAATGCAGCTACGCCTCCCCCATTGGTTGTCAACAATGCTCCGGCAACCACCCCATCACCTCCCCTAATCACTTATTCACGCCGTACAAGGCCTACCCTTCAACAACCGCCTTCCACAACAACAACCCCTTCTGGTTCGAACCCCCTACCAATCACCTCACAAACACCTTCTGTTCCTCCTACTCGTACCATCCACACCAGAAGTATGTCTGGCATTTCGAAACCCAAACAGCACTACAACCTCCCTACTTCTACCTCTCTCTCCCCTATCCCTCGAAACCCAATAGAAGCACTTAAAAACCCGGATTGAAATAAAGCGATGACAAACAAGTTTCAGGCCCTTATTGATAATAAAACGTGGGAGTTAGTCCCGAAACATAACAATATGAATATAGTGCGTAGTATGTGGATTTATCGTCATAAAACTAAGTCTGATGGTTCTTTAGAGCGATACAAAGCTCGTTTGGTTTGTGATGGCAGGTCTCAAAAAGCAGGTATCGACTGTGGTGACACTTTCAGCCCCGTGGTAAAGCCGGCGACAATTCGGGCTGTTTTGTCCCTAGCTCTTTCTAATGAGTGGCAAATTCACCAACTCGACGTGAAAAACGCGTTTCTACACGGACATCTACATGAAACGGTTACATGAAACGGTTTACATGCATCAACCCCCCGGCTTTCGTAATCATTTGTATCCAAATCATGTATGTCTGCTTAAAAAGTCTCTCTACGGACTTAAACAAGCACCACGAGCTTGGTACCAAAGATTTGCTGACTACGTATTCACTATGGGGTTCAAACATAGCAAATGTGACCATTCACTATTCGTATACAAAAAGGGAACCCATACGGCCTTCCTCCTTCTATATGTAGACGACATCTTACTCATCACCTCCTCACCCGGATTACATCATAAGTTTATGGTTTTATTAGCAAAAGAGTTTGCCATGAAAGATCTTGGACCCCTAAGCTACTTTCTTGGAATTTCGGTGTCTCGTCATAAAGATTCACTTTTTTTGTCACAACAAAAGTACGCCACCGACATTTTGGAACGAGCAGGCATGACCTCATGTCACCCAACTTCCACACCAGTTGACAGTAAGGCCAAATTAAGCAGCACCGATGGAACTCTTTTGCCTGACGGGGGAATACAATATCGCCAGCTGGCAGGGGCTCTCCAATATTTGACCTTCACACGGCCAGACATAAGCTACGCAGTTCAACAAGTTTGCATGCACATGCATGCACCCCGAACATCTCATTTTAATGCTCTTAAACGAATTTTGAGGTATATTAAAGGTACTCTTGCTCACGGGTTGTATCTTCACAAATCACCTTCTAGGAAACTTATTGCCTATACCGATGCCGATTGGGCAGGTTGCCCGGACACGAGACGCTCAACTTCTGGTTACTGTGTCTACTTGGGCGATAACCTAATATCCTGGTCCTCCAAGCGTCAACTAACACTCTCCCGATCTAGTGCAGAAGCAGAATACCGGGGAGTTGCAAATGTCGTTTCCGAAACATGTTGGATCCGAAATTTGTTGTTGGAGCTTCATGTCCCTCCAACTACAGCCACACTAGTCTATTGTGACAATGTCAGCGCCATTTACTTATCATGCAACCCGGTTCAACACCAACGTACCAAACACATCGAGCTGGACATTCATTTCGTTCGGGAAAAGGTCGCTCAGGGTCAAGTCCGTGTATTCCACATTCCCTCTCGCTATCAGATTGCGGATATCTTCACAAAGGGTCTACCTTTCATTCTCTTTGACGATTTCAAGCACAGTCTCAACGTTCGTCATCCTCCCGATTCGACTGCGGGGGTCTATTAGCCGAAGATATCTTTCCTCATATTAAGGAAGTATTGTTATAGTTGATAAACTCTTCATTATAGATAGCGATAGGATATTGTATAAATATGAATTGTAAATCATTGGAATGATACGGGAAAATTATCAATTAACACTTATAATAGAAATATATAGTATGAAAATGAGGAACAACCTTTGTGATTCACCATACATCGTTTGAAATGCAAGCTGCACCCCATCTTGCACCTATCATAAAGAATTTTAAGTGTTCATAAAATTAAAGTTTCATATGATAAAGCAAATAATTAACATGATTAGTTGTTTTTCATCTAGAGTAGAGGCAAGTGAAAGTTTGTTGACTTTCTGTCATTTTCTTTAAATAACCAAATGTGCCGGCACGTATGTAAGCAAAAATGAAGGGAGAGTAAGAAAACAAGAAAAACATATTGATCTCATAAGTCAAATTCATTTCCCAAAAGTACAAGTTTGAGAAGAAAATCTATTGCAAAGTGAAGTTTCGTGGCCATTTGTAAAAAAATGTTATTGATTGCATTATATCATTCGTTATGTATGAGGATCCATCAGCTCATAAGTACATTCGCTTTATTTGAATGACAATAGCTCATAAAGGTAATGGCCAAAGAATTGAAGGCATTGGATGGAATAACTAACAGAAGAATAAAAGGATAGTCAGACTTCCTTAATGTCATGCATAGACTGACCATTTACAAGTTTAAGACTCAAAGTGAAGTTTCATAGGGTTTTTGGGCATTTATTTCAGAAGGAGAATAAAGGAGTTGAAGCTTTCATATATAGGCCGTGTTTGGGACCCGGGGAAAAGTCAGAAACGTATGTGATGAAATATTAAACTCATCACTTTATCTACCAACTTCATCGTCAACAGATGCAGCTTGCTTTAGACACGAATTTGTAGTAAATATGTTTCGTTGATGGGAAAGAGTTAATTTCCAACAAGGAAAATTTAAATTCATTACTTTTGTAGACTAAATTTAATGATCAATTACCTTTATTGTAGGATTGAACTGCATAGGTCGACCTGTCTTGCTCCATCCTCGTACCTCTGTACCAATGTGCATGTGACAATTAATATGAACTTTCTTTATTTTCATAACAAATCTGACTATTAACAATGCCCAGAAGTAACTTGGACAAGAGGGAATTAATTATACCTGTACAGTCAACGGTATCACCAACTAAAATACTAAACCAGTCAGGAGTCAGTCTACCAGCCTCCATTAACTCAAACAAATCACTGCGACAAAGATAGTAAGCTCCTGTGCTTAGTTGAAATCCAGACAAACCTCCTCCAAGAGATTCTACCAATCCCATGTTATTTTCCAAGGTTATTTCCTCAGCTTCCTCATCATCAGTATAAACAAGGCTCACACCACATTCATGCACCTCCAATCCACTGATCACAGCGATGGAGACGTTGACTTTATCTCCCGTATCCAATGCATTTCCAATTGGCCAATAGCTTAACCATATACCAACTTCACCAGATTCAGGTTTGCCAAAGACTTTGGGGTTGTACATCAAATCAACACCATTGCTCGTACTGATCTTACAGAACCATAACCCGTCATCATCCTCACCTGATATTGTTTTATATTTAAAAGTTACATCAAGTCCTTTGAGCCTCCTATTCTTGAGAGGCGGAGGCACATCAAAGGACAAAGATGATAAGTCTGATTCATAAGTAGGCTTCATGTTTGGATCCTCCATGTCTGGAAGAGATGTGCTCGTTATATTGAATTCATACAACATCTGTGCCATGCAAAAGCACAATAATTCAGTCGCATATAATCTAATCAGTTTGTAGGTGGTACTTTATTGATGTGCGTGTGGTGTGCTCATGCATGTGTTTGAGAGAAAAACATATACCTGGACACATGAACTTCTGCCTTTGGTGAGCTCATCATCACCAACCAGGCTCACCTCATGATTTTCATATTCTTTTAGCCACTTCATATGTCCCAAATCGTTTTCTTCAAGTCTGCCTACAGGCTCCAATTTGACATGGGTTTCTAATTGATCTTCTTCCACCAAATCAATCTCCACATTAGTGTACTTCCGCCATTTGTAAGCTATTTCTTCATTACATACAACACGTACATGAGACAGGTCCTCCACAGATTCCGGCAGCTCATGTACTCCGCTACAACCTTTCATATAAATCGTCCTTAAACCCCTCAATTTCCCCATTTTTTCCGGCAACCCACTCAAGTTCAAACAATCTGAAATGTCAAGAACACTCAACTTTTCAAGTCTCCATATTGATTCAGGCAACTTTTCCAGTTCCGTACAAGAACGAAGACTAAGTATTTCCAAATTAGTCAAATTCCCAAAATTTTCAGAAAATCCACACATCTCATTACAATTTGTGATGCTAATACTCTTAAGGTGGATAAGGTTACATAATGCCCCTGTGAATTCGACTAAATCCTGGCAATAATCGATCTCGATCTCAAATAACTGTGGCCAGATATTGGGGATGAGTTTCTCAAAAGTATTGCTGATTTTGCACATTATGAATGATACTCTCTGCAGGTTTTCCAGTGATAAAATAGATGGATGTATCATCACACGTTCAAATCTAATCCTTGTTAGATTGCGTGCAGATCCTAGAAGGTGGAAATTCTCAAATTTTGTAGGGTGTAAACTGTGGCTTGTAATGCTTAGAATCTTTAATTTTGGCAATCCCACTAAGAAATGGGGTAAAGTGTATGTTTTTGACATTAAGTTCAAGATTAGAACTTCAAGGTCAGGGACATTTATATCGCACCATTGCGACAAGAACAACTTCCCTGCAATAAAGATTGTAATCGATCAATAGAAAAGATAATACACCAATAAATGCAATAAATATTAATAAACTTTTCATTTCTCTATTCTTAGATTAATATTATTTTGGGAAGGATTAAATGCAATAAATACAAACACATTTTTTATTTTATGTTTTTATTAAAGCATTTTAATATCATTTCTTTCTATTCCAGCATTGTATTTGATATCTATTCCAATTATAGTAATGACAGACAAAATACAAAGCATTTTTAATTTCGCTGCTATAACTGGGCAGATTTTTCAAAGTATAATGTGCTAATAGAAAACTTTTTGAAAGTACAATGCTATAATTGGTAGACCTTTCAAAGTATGATACCCGAACAAGAAAAAAAACAAAAGCACCGTTACATAATAGAAAGAAATGAAAGTAGGATGCGATAACAAGCAAATAAAATAAAAAACATTTCTTGCATTTAGCTTTTTGGGAACAAATATATACTAAACAAAAAAAATTATGTGCTCTATTTGTAAAGTTAAAAGGTCAAAACGTAACCACCACGTTTTTTAAACAAAGGGGGTACGATCCATCCAATATCATGAATGAATCTGCAAGAAGGTTATTCTTCCTGCAGCACAACACTGAGCTGGCCCACAGTGCCCCACGAGCATCATGTGAGGTGTAAATCAGTTACACAGTGGCCCACTAGATGGATTGCATAAAGCCCATTGCCTGGAAGGAGCCAAATCCACATTGGAATTAATTGTGGCTAACCCTCACAGGTTTCTGCAAAGATATCATTCGGGGAACCATTTATGCCATGCCATGGGGGCTTAAATTTGTGAGAATAAAAACCTGTGGAAATAGACAATATGCGGGCTTGCATAGGTTCTTGGACTTTTTCAATTGATGAGGGCAGGTCTTCTCCTTGTGCATTTATAATCAATCTACTCCTTTGTGCTAAGGGCAATCTGCTATTCAAATGAACAGCAAGCTCCCGCAACAAACCATGTTGTGTGACCAAGAGTTGGTCGCAATAGTTAACTCTTGCGATTGAATCATTCCAAAACCTAAAATATTCAAGGATAAGTCTATAACAATTAAATTAGATACGTAATTATCAAATTAAAATACCTAAAGCAAAAAAAATATTGGAAAAAGCTTATTTGATTAGGCTTGTGCAGTAAAAGCTCGCACTGTACTTGCTCTTAGACTATCTTCATTTTTTCCTCCAAAAATAGAGTAAAAATAGGGTAAATGGTGTTTCGTTTCCAACCCTACTCTATTCTATACCCCATTTTTTACCCCAAAAAGTATATTTCTAGTATATTCCCTTTTTGTAACATATATATATATATATATATATATATATATATATATATATATAGTTTATTTTATTTCCTTATTTTTATTAGTTTATTTTAGATTTTTAGATCTTTTTATCATTTCGTTTCCAACCCTACTCTATTCTATACCCCATTTTTTACCCCAAAAAGTATACTTCTAGTATATTCCCTTTTTGTAACATATATATATATATATATATATATATATATATATATATATAGTTTATTTTATTTCCTTATTTTTATTAGTTTATTTTAGATTTTTAGATCTTTTTATCATTAATGCATTGTATTTTATTTATTTTTCTTTAGTATGGATCGTACCGGGTGCTTGTTATGTTGCATGAGATATTTTGTAGGTTTTTCGGTGCTTGTTGCGGTTGCGGGTTGATTGGAGACGTGCTTAATGGGCTCCCGAAGCATTATTGGGCTTGGCAGAATCAAAGAAGAAGAATTGGGCTTTGAAAGATGGATCATAAATTTCTAATTTTGGGCTTGGAGCATCCATTTAGTGGCTAAATGATGATTGGTAGATTCAAATTACATGGACAAGGGGGGGACCAAAGAAATCTTTGGTACTGGAAGGGTGGAGTGGTGGAATGAAGGACCAATAGCATTACAGCAACATTTGCGCGGGTGGAATTTTCATCGCACGGGTACCCGCGCAACTACCCAGTTTGGGTATTTTGGTCATTTGGCTTGCCATAACCTTGGGGGATCAGATCTAGAAGCTCATTCACGTTTTTCCACCATTGGAGACCTGCAAGAGGCGATTTTGGGAGCTAGAAATCATTTTCCTTTCATCTTTCCAAATCTTAGGTAGTTTCTTTATGCAATTAGATTATTGTTCTTGTTACTTTGTTGCCATGAGTGGCTAATACTCTAATTTGGTTGACTTTGGCTGAAAACCAATGAATGTTTGTGGGTTTTGAAGAATTTATGTTGATTATCTATTTATTCCATGTTTATGATTCTAGTTTATAATTATTATGCTTATTTGATGCTTTGATCATGAGCTTAGTATTTGATTGAGCAATGGTTGATTTGTTTCATTGATTTTGCATTGGATCATTGAATTTATCTAGAATAAAGGCTTTATGATGGTAGAAATCATCTCTAGCTTATAAATCATTACTCCTTTATGGATGTGTAAGCATTTAACATCCTCTAGGAATTGAGGATTCCTTCATTCTTAAGGCTAATTGATTTCTTGGGATTAATTGTTTCAACTAACCATTGATGTTAATTAAGAAGGTGTTTTGTGGCTTCCCCAACCTCCATACTACCTATGAGGAATCTTGACATATCATGCTTCATGATTGCTATAACCAATTTGGGATGAAGGATAAGCTTTGTATTAGATCCTAATGATAAACACACAAATGTTCATTGTGTTGAATTGCCTTAGTTAACCAATTATTCTCAAACTTTGAGCATCTCCTCAACTTGCTTAATTGCAAGGTTTTTTTTAGTTATTCAAGTATTTTAGTTTTCAAGTAATCAACCCCCCCCCCCCCCCCCCCCCCTTTTGTTTAATTGTAGTTAATTAGTTTAATTTCACGAGTTCTATTGAATTGCATTGATGATTGAATACAACCATTTCCCCGAGGATCGATACCCCTTTTTACCATTATATTACGTTTATTTAGCAATCAAAGGGTGTAATTTGCTTGGTGGGCTTGACATACCACCAAGTTTTTGTAACATATATATATATATATATATATATATATATATATATATATATATATAAAATCAAACACACCCCTTCTATTCATTAGATTTTAACGAATATATATTCTATCTTTTTTCATTACAATAATATTATCAATTATGTTATCATAAAATTAAAACAAAATAAAATATTAATATATAATGAATTTGAACTAATTATTAATTTGTTAAGAATAACTTTTAAATAAATAAGATTATATTTATAACACGCTTATAGATAAATATTATACATACATCTTTTAGAAATATTACAAATTTGTAAACACTACTAATGTATTTCGTAGACCGGACCGGAAAATAAAAACAAAACAAAACAAAACTGACCCTAGATCAAACCAGAAGTACCTATAATCGGGCCGGATCCCGGTTCTAATGCTTTTCAATTTGTAGTTTTCGGATAAGAACCAGACCAGACCCAAAAAAACGTTAGTAATATCGGACCGGACCGGTATATATTATAAGGACTTATTTTTTTAATCGGCATTAACTATATATGAAAAAGTCTTTTTAAATTATAACCTTTTATAAAAGATGTTACCGTGTTACAAATTTTTAATATGCATTAAATTTTTTATATGAATTCAATACATAAATATTAAGCTTTACATTTATGATTAATTAATATAATTTAATATATAACAGGATATTATATTCCCTCCGTTCCAATATAATTGTAAGGAAACATTAATTACCATTAACTTTATTCAATAAAATAACAGTTTTGTCCTTACTTTACATTTAATGTTCCATTAAATGCTTAGTTGGTTAAGTAATAATGAAGGATATTTTGGTAAAAATGTTATTTATTTTTAGAAGAGGACTATTATTTTGGGACAAACCAAAACAGAGAGATAGATAATAATTTTGGAACGGAGGAGTATTAAATATTGCATTTAAATTATAATTAATAGATAAAAATAAACTACAAATGTATAAAATAAAAAAGAAAAGGACTAAAACTGACAATTGAAACATCACCTCCATTTTTTGAAGAAATGAATAGAGGAACACTATTCATATCTCAAAAACTAAAGATCGAAATAGGGTAGGGTACAAAGAAGAATCGAGGAAAAAATAGGATTTAGGGGTGAGTTGGAGACACTCTTAGAAGATTCCCAGATGACTTAAAGGGTGAAAAGTAACACAAATAGAGTAGGTCAAATGTGTACCTTGTGGTCATAAAATCGACAAGGTTTTCGTAAGAAAGTTGATTGACCTTGGCGAGGGTATCAATGCCACCAGCATCATGGTTGTACAAATGCACCCACACATCTAAGAGGGTGCTAACCGGGATCCTTTGATCCTCAGGGAATAGCCCCAAATCCAAGAAACATTGCTTTAAGTCATCATCTAGAGCCTCAAAGCTTCTTTCCAGATCGACAAGTACATCCTTGTGTAAATCTAGAACCGACGTACCTTCAGACAATGACTTTAGCATAAATTTCCAGATAGACTTATCCTCCCTTTTTAAGGATTGGCCAACCGCAAAAAGGGTGAATGGATGTCTCTTACAACATTTTACCATCTGCATGCAAGGGATACAAACAAGTTACATGTTGTTTCGTTTTTACATTATAAGACTTAATAAATATGGTACTTATAATATATTGTGTTTCTTTTTTACTTGATGCAGAAAGAACCAATTAATGGATATAGTTTGGAATTGAAACTTGTATTTATTTTAAGAATAGAACACATGATTACCTGATCCACAAGGTTCTTATCAATAATTTGACTAGGTATCCGCCCGCCTTTATCAAATGCTGATTGGCAAAAGAGAGTTTTTGCATCTTTCTCGTTCAAAGGGTCAAATCGAAACACATCATAACTCGTAAAGGCGGTCCTAGATGTAACCAGAATCATGCATTGTCTGTTCTTTGATGGAAAGTTATCAATAAACGACTCAGACCACACATCATCTAATACTAGAAGCATGGGACCTGATATTTTCTGATTTAAAAAGTTCTCCAGTTCACTCTTTGCATCTTCATTGCTTTGAAACAGAACTTGCAGGGATGAGGAATTTGGATTAAAGAGATCATTGACAATCACCATATAACTGGGTGTGTCTGAAACCGTCACAAAGAAGATATCCTCCCCAAATTTTTCTGTCCAAATTGTAAGAGACAATAGCATCAAGCAAGCTAGTGAAACTGACTAATACTCTATATATATATATATATATATATATATATATATATATATATATATATATATATATATATATATATATATATATATATATATATATGATTCACAAATGTGATGGATTACCACGAATTTCGGGATCATGGCATAGCATTTTCACCAAGGTAGTTTTCCCACATCCACCGGCAGCGGAAACAACCAGCACTGATCGACCACCACTATCCATCGAACTTCCATCGTTATCATCATCATAATAATAATAATCAATTCCTGAAAAAACCTCACCCTTCAGCTTGGTCAATGGCTCGTCAAACGCCACAATTCCATCTGGAAGTGCAGGAACTCGCCAACCATACTTTTCTCGTTCCAAGATTTCATGTCGCGATTGTTCTGTTCTCAAAAACATCAACCTTGAACTACTATAATCACTGGTCCAACTTGTTCTCGTAGACATCGAAAATGAATCACTATAATCACGGATCCAACTTGTCAGCGTAGACATTGACAATGAATCACTATAATCATCGTTCACACCTAAAAACATCTCCGTAATGCTCTGACTCCGGATTGCTTGAACTTCGCTTTGAAAGAATCTTTGCAAATTAGCGTTCACATCTTTTAGCTTTTGTGAGTAACTGGACTTCTTGATAACATTCTTTTTTACTTGCGGATATTTTTCAAAAACTTTATTGGCTTCTTGGATGTACTTTATGAACATCTTTGCTTCTTGGATGTCATATAAGAACATCTTGCACTCCGCCTCTGTATGATCTAGTTTTCCATAGACCTTTACAATCTCGTAACAGATCGGTGTTATTATCTGTAAGGTGTCGATCAGTAGCTCCAGTTCAGCCTTGAAATCGGTTGTGCTTTGTGCAACAGACATTATCATTTCAGATAGTTTGGAGAGGGTTACATATAGGAGCATAAGCATCTCTTGTGGCTTATTCTGAAATCAGTATAAAACATGCAGAAGAAGATTACATAGATGGATTTAGTGATATATATATATATATATATATATATGTGTGTGTGTGTGTGTGTGTGTGTTTATACATTTGCATATGCATATGCATATGTATATGTATACACAGTCTACATAAGATATTAATTATTAAAGGAGTCTGACTATCCGGTTTGCTTCTGCTAGTTATTCCATCCGATGCCTTGAATGTTATGTCCATCAGATTTATGAGCTATTATCATTTAAACAGAGCTAGGGTCCTTGTGAGATGACAGAACGTCATACATAACAAACCCAAAGAAAAATAAAGCAATCAATAATATTTTTTACAGAATACGGATAAACTTCCACTTTGAAATAGATTTTTATCTCAAACTACAAGAACTCTTGGGAAAAGAAATAGACTTACGGGATCTGTATATTTTTTCTCATTTTTATATTTCTCTCCTCATTTTGCTTAGAGTCGGTACAATTGGATTTTTAAAGAAAATGACGAAGAGTCAGCGAACTTTCATTTTTCACGTAGTTCCCATTAAATTGATTGAATCGTTCTTAATGGCCCATGTGTTGAGCAATCAAATTAAGAAAAAAAAAACTATGTGAAAAGTGAAAGTTCGCAGACTCTTTAGTCATGTGAAAAGGGTATGGTTCTTTAAAGAACCAAATGTACTAGCATGCATGTAAGCAAAATGGAGGGAGATGTACTAGCATGCATGTAAGCAAAATGGTGGAGTGGAGGGATGGTGGATGTGGTAGTGGCAGCGGGATGGACGCGGTGGTGGCGATGATGGATACAGTTGTGGTGGTGGTGCTAGTGGTGGCGGTGGTGTGGCTGTGGTGACAGGGTGGTGGTGGCGGTGATGGGGTGGTGGTGGATGTGATGGTAGGTCAGAATTTACGGTAGTGGTGGTGTGTGATGTGTGTGTTTTTGTGGGGGTAGTAGTGGCAGTGTGTGTGTGTGTGTGTTTATGGGGATGGGGTGGTTGTGCGTGTGTTTAGGGGGGTGGGTGTGTGTGTGTATTTGTGGGGGTGTGGGTGGGTTGGGTTAGGGTGGGGGTATGTAGAGGTGGGTGGGGTTGGGGTGGGTTTATATTTTGGAAAATTTTTGGAATTAGAAAAATGTGGAAAACAATGATTAGCGGTTTTCCAAAATTTTCTAAGTTCTTTGTAATTTTGGAAAACGGAAAATGAAAAATTTTAGAAAAATTGTTGAACTAAACCTGTTTTCAAAATTTTCTTTCTTGGAAAAATTTTCAGCCCCATTTTTTTGTAACTAAACACACCCTAAAGCTTTTCCTAAACTCATCACTTTATCTATCAAGTTCATTGTCAACAAATGCAGCTTGCTTCAGACATGTACTTGTTGTATATATGTGTGTTACTGGGAGTGAGTTAATTTCCAGCACAAGGAAAGAAATAAGCTCTTTTTCCTTTATAGGCTAAATGTAATACTCAGTTACCTTTATTTTTGTTTCACTTTCACTAAATTTAGACGATGTGGAAGATATGATGGTCTCCCCAAGTAGGCTTGATGTGAAGTCCAATGTTTTATCTACAAAAGATGATTTTGACATCTCTGCAATCTTATAAATGTCCTCCTATTTATTTTTCATAAACACCAGGGCCAGATTAGCAAAACCCAATCATTACACTACATAGCAAACACACATTGCTATCTAATCAAACTTAAAAGAATCATATGTATAATGCAAAGGAAATAGGGATTTGAGATGTATATCACTTCTATTTGAATTATAGGTATATTATGATAAAACCAAGTCACAAAGGTCCTATTCATCTTATACCAACTGCATAGGCAGAGTAGAAGATATGTAGGCCCTCCATATTATTCATGTAACGAGTTAATGATCCCCCTCCCCAACCCCAAAAAAAAAAATAATAAATAAATAAGAGGAAATGTACCGATTCAGGACCATGGACGATGCATCTAACAAACTTTAACTCAGTAAATGATGGTTTCAACTGTGTAGGTCGACCTGTCTTTCTCCATCCTCGTACCTCTGTGTCACAATATTATCAATTTTCATAATAAATCTGACTACAAATTAAATGCCCAGAATTAGCTTTGAAAAGAGCGGACATACCTGTACAGTCAATGGTATCACCAACTAAAATACTAAACCAGTCAGGAGTCAGTCTACCAGCCTCCATTAACTCAAACAAATCACTGCGACAAAGATAGTAAGCTCCTGTGCTTAGTTGAAATCCAGACAAACCTCCTCCAAGAGATTCTACCAATCCCATGTTATTTTCCAAGGTTATTTCCTCAGCTTCCTCATCATCAGTATAAACAAGGCTCACACCACATTCATGCACCTCCAATCCACTGATCACAGCGATGGAGACGTTGACTTTATCTCCCGTATCCAATGCATTTCCAATTGGCCAATAGCTTAACCATATACCAACTTCACCAGATTCAGGTTTGCCAAAGACTTTGGGGTTGTACATCAAATCAACACCATTGCTCGTACTGATCTTACAGAACCATAACCCGTCATCATCCTCACCTGATATTGTTTTATATTTAAAAGTTACATCAAGTCCTTTGAGCCTCCTATTCTTGAGAGGCGGAGGCACATCAAAGGACAAAGATGATAAGTCTGATTCATAAGTAGGCTTCATGTTTGGATCCTCCATGTCTGGAAGAGATGTGCTCGTTATATTGAATTCATACAACATCTGGCCATGAAAAAGCACAATAATTCAGTCGCATATAATCTAATCAGTTTGTAGGTGTGCTCATGCATGAGTTTAAGAATTAAGAGAGAAACAACAAACCTGCACACACAAACTTCTGTCTTTGGTGAGCTCATCATCACCAGCCAGGCACACCTCATGATTTTGATATTTTTTTAGCCACTTCATATGTCCCAAATCCTTTTCTTCAAGTTTGGCTACAGGCACCAATTTGATAAAGTCTTCAATTTCTAATAAACTAACGCACCCTTCATACCCAAACTCTTGCAATGTGAATCGATGTGATTGGAAACTAATTTCCTCCAGCGACTTACAATAGTATACATACAACTCTGCAAGTGTACTTGGGAGACAAAGAAGCTGTTTAAGCATCGAGCATAAACTCAAGTCAAGGACCCGAAGATTTTTAAGATGGTCGTAACACGGCAGAAACTCAAATAGACTATTGCCTAAATTCATGTACTGCAAAGATAGTTGAGCACTAAAACTCAGAGGAAAGGAATCAGTACACTCAAGATCACAATCCTTGAGAAATAACCGGTGTAGTGAAGGTGGGAAGAAAAAGGTAGGCTTTTCTGCAACTCCTCCACCAGAGGTAGAAGCTTCTGTTTGCTCACTCTTGCACAGGTTTCTACATCCTGTCATGTTCAGTAGTGCAAGACTTGTCAGGCCTCCAATTGTTTCACAAACACGAGCAAGACTGTGACAGTTCCAAAGAATCAAAGTCTCCAGTTGAGGGATCATGGACATGTTGCGGACTTCGCGTAGGTTGTGCGAGTCTGTAAGATTCAGAATCTGCAGTGACGGAAGAACCTGTTGCAAAAGTAATAAGATTAATTAATGTAGCACTCCATGTCTGCATAAAGCAGAATTACCAACAAGCTAAACGGATATGCAATAAATAAATAAATAAGAGGATATCAGACTCAGACTCCCTACCATGGGGGGTTCAAATACTTCCAATTTACTGTAGCTCATATCTATAGCCACCAAGTTTCCCATGAATAAGTCAGATGGTATGCTTCTTAAATCGGATCCAAGCCAGCAAAGCCATCTCAAATCTTCTGAAAGATTATCGTAGGACCCCGTGAGCTGCACAAACTTTAGTTGGAGCAATTTCAGTCTATCCATCTTTTGAAGTGCATCTGTCTTGAGGTTTGATGACTGCAGATTTAGCAAACTATCAGATCCAGAAATAAATTTGTGTGTGTTTAAATATAGCACATTCACACACACACATCGATTCTTAGTGATTCTGTATTACCTTGAAAGCAAACTTCTGTTCTAGTATTTTCATGTCAAGTGCTAAACCTTCCATAGTTTCTGAACCCTAAAAGGAAAAAATAAAAATAAAAAATAAAAGGGTGTGACAGGTAAAAGTAAGCTTTATTAAATATACATATAAGAAGCATATTACCTTTCCCTTGCTCAATATCTTATAAGAGTCACTACTAAGCCAGACTCTACTACGTTGTTCAGGGAATTTTGATTCTTGACGAACTATGTTTTTCCCCATCTCTTGAAGCAACCGATGCATCATGAGTTTGTTGTTTGGTGAAACAGAAAGAAGGCATCTGTTGGATAGGCTCGTGATCCCAGACGCTGCATCGTAATCATGCTGCAATATCTTTACCACATAATCCTTGTCTTTGCCAACAAAGAAACAAGCAATATGCAGAAACAACTCCTTTTCTAAGACAAGCGATAATGACTTGTAGCTCATTATAAGTACATTGTGAATTCTAGAATGAATATCTTTTTCCAGTGTATTCAACTGACTTTTCCAATGTAAGATGGTATTTTTTTGGGACAGAGCAGCAGCCAACACTTCAAGAGCCAGCGGATTCCCTTCACAATATTCTACCGCTTGTTCTGCAACCTCCTCGAAACCTTCCATGGGAACTTTGGAACCAAAAGCATGACGACTTAAAAGCTCCAACGATTCTTCAGGTTTCAATAATTTCATTTCATAATCTTGACACCTCCAGTCTGTGAACTTAAACCAATCATCTGTATTTTCTCTGGTTGTTGTTATTATAATCTTGGTTAGTGGATTAATCTTCCCAGTTCCAAGTAAAGCAACTAACTGACTACGTTCAACAATGTCATCAAGAACAATAAGCGACCTTTTTGTCTGTAAGGCCTCCTCAATCTTACATGTACCTTCAGAAACACTAGGTATTTTTCTCTTCTTGCCACCCAATATACCTTTGAGAAGTTGTTCTTGTAGCACACGCATACCATCAGGCTGTTCACATTTTTCTCTAATGCCTTCAAGAAAACTCATGTTTTCATAAGTTTTCCAGTTTGAATTGTAGATGTATTTGGCCAATGTTGTCTTGCCACTTCCACCCATCCCGCAAATTGCTAAAAATTCAACATCCGGTTGATTTAACCAGACACCGATATCTTTGTATCGAGTAGCCATCCCAGTTATATTTTGTGGAAGACTAACTTCTTTGCGTTCCAATTTATTGTAAATGATGTCAACAATATCCTTCACAAACTTTGCTTCAGACCTGGAACAACATGAGAAAAATGAACAAATTCATGGGAAGGAATTTACAGAGTCTTTGATATAAGTAAATGAAAATATTGAATAATCAATTTTTCAAATTAACGTGTTACTAGTATATCGGTATTTGTTTAAATTTGATTACCGATTTACCATTGAAGTTAATTTCCCAAAAATTATAAAAGTCCAATTATTAATGGATCACAGCATTTCCAAGTGGAGAGAAGTTTTTCCAATTTATTTGCAAATACATTATTAAAATACCAATAACACAAATAATGGAGGCCCACAATTCTGTTCAAAGGCACGATATTTTTGTTTTTATCTTAATTATCTAAATCAGAAATTAACATAGATAGTTTTTAGCAACTTTTTTCAAGAAAGAAAATATGAAAAAGAAATCAGTTAGATCCCCATAGATCTAACTTAAGATTCAAACATGTATGCGATGTACCAACAAAGACTTATTGACATAAAAAGAGGAAATATCACAGTATTTTATACTTTATAGCTTATCCCATTAGATATTTGAAATACACATAAAATTTCAAAAAAAAAAAAAAAGTAGCCATCAAACACTTTTTCACCCACTTTTCCGAACTACTGTGTAAACAAAGATCTGTTACCGATTCATAGGTTAAAGTATTGATACATTTATCAGGTAAAAGTTCTGAATTCTTTTAAAAAGGAAGAGACAAAGAGGCATACCCAGACAAAACCATGCCTGCTAAATCAGGAACCTCTTTAAGAGCTTTTTTCCACAGGCTCACGTTTTCATCTGTCCACCTTGAAGAGGCTTTGACTTTTATAGCAAAAGTTCCCGTTTGTTTCCTCACATCAGAAGGATCGACATGATAAAAAACAGGTAGAACGAAATGATTGCACTCCCTCCTTTGCTGGAGGATCAACGCAAGCTCATCCAGACACCAAGTTGAAGTTGCATACTTCTCTGAGAATACAACTACTGAAGCCCTAGATCCTTTAATTGCTCTCTCGATCTCCAGCTGCAGTTCTTCACCTCTCCTGATTTCTTCATTATCCCTAAAAGTAACAATTCCTGCTCGGATTAATGCGTCATAAAGATGATCCGTAAAAGCATTACGATTATCTTCGCCTCTAAAGCTTAAAAAAACGTTATAAGCACCGGCAGAAGCCATAATACTGGATGAAGAACCGAAAGAAATTGAAATTTTGAAATGGATTTGAAAGGATGGGAAGATGAAGTCAACTCAAATTTCTAGCACAGGATTCCAGCTGAATATATATTGTATTTAAAGAACATAAAGTTGCTATACAAGACAACTTAAATTCTAGAGTAATGACATAATGATCCCTATGTTTATACATAAATAACGGATTGGGTCCCTAATAGTTTTTATTGTCAATTTCATCCCTACGGTTTAGGTTCGTTTTGAACCACGTCTCCATTATTTATATTGTTTATTTTCGCATATTAAATAAGTTGTTAAATAAATGTAAAATTACTATTTTACTTTTATATTATGTATCCTTACTTTTACTTTTATATATTTAATATCAACTTATTATTTTCTTGTTATTGATTTTTCTTAATGATTGAATAATCTTTTACCTTCCATCTCCTCCTCCTTCTCATCTCTTTTAAAGTCTCCATATCAATTAAGGTAAGCAAAATTGAAACCAAATAACCAACAAAATCTGAAACCAAATAATCGAACCCAAACTCAAACCATCGGTTTTAGGTTTGGATTTTTTAAAACAAAAAATTGGTTTGGATTTGGTTTGTACTTTGCGAACCAACCCAAAATGTAAAACTAAATAGAAACCAACTCATTGAACTGAAACCCAAGGGTTGGCCGAAAACTCATTGCAGCCTTCTGAAATCGCTTCTAACACTCTCATTTGTAAGTGAAACATACAAATTAGGCTATTTCCTTACCATACTTGACATTATATTCACTAATTTTATACATATATATTACGTGAAATGCTATTAGGACTCGTTTTTGTTATGAGATCTAACTTGTGGAACGACATCCTATATCGAACCTTAAACACAATATAATTATGTTAACTCTTACATGTGAAAACAAACAAATAAAGGATTTCTTATGCTTATAAATATTGTTAAAAATCATTTTCAAACTCTTTTAAACTATTTTAGATTTTTGTTTATATCAAAATCATATTTGTTTGTATATTTAGAATAAATTATTGAAATCGTCCTTGTGGTCTGGTAAAAATTGCATATTTTATCCCTAACTTTTATTTTGCACTCGGATCGTCCCTGTAGTTTGATTTTTTTGCATTTTTCGTCTCTATGGTTTGGTGAAAATTGCATGTTTGGTCCCTAACTTTATGTATGTAAGGGACGAAAACGCAACAAAATCAAACCATAGGGACGAAAAATGCAACAAAATCAAATCAATGGGACGATCCAAGTGCAAAAAAAAAGTTAGGGACCAAACGTGTAATTTTAACCAAACTATAGGGACGATTTCAGTAATTTACTCGTATGTTTATGTATAATCATGCTTTAACGGACTTAGGACTATTGTTAAATACCGTAACTCATGTACCTTATTTGGTTGTGGGCTTAGGATAGGATCACTAGTCCGACTGTCGTCTAAATCATAACTATACATGCTAAATATATGCATGAATATTAAATCTCATTTTCAAGAATAGACTTAACTCAATTGTATATGCTGGGCAAATGAGCATTTTCTCCAAATCATTTACAGTTCAAACAAACATACTAGTAAACTATAGACAAAACTGCACGAATGGTCCCTGTGGTTAGCTGAAAATTGCCACTTTGGTCCAAAAAAGTTGGACTAGCACCAGAGGTCCAAACTTTTCATTTTGTTGCGAGTTTGGTCCGATTTTGTTTGAACTTTTTTATAAAGACGATTTTGCCCCTGATTATTTAATATTTTAATTTTCTTTTATTACAACAATTAAAAAGAATTAAAAATAAAAGAAAAAAAATACTTTCTTTCTTTCTCTCTCTCCCTCCCTCTCTCTCTCTCTCTCTTTTCTCTCTCTCTCTCTCTCTCTCTCTCTCTCTCTCCATCATGAACAAGAGGAGTATAGTTTCTAGCCCAAAATCCATTATCTGACATCGATTTTACCCCTCAATATTTCAATTTCTACATATGAAGAGTTGAAGACATTAACTTAGTATCATGAGGCGTAAGATTTTCAATAAACATTTCAATCGTTTTCTCTATGTTTCTTTTGCGTCGCCGGAGAAAAATGGCCGCAGAGCCATCACCACCGCTACTTTGCTGCCTACCACAAAACCCACCATTAATGAGACCTCAATCCACCCTCCTTCACCGTCTCAAACACCCACCCTTTCCGATCTGAAGCCACCATCCTGTTGGTAAGATGAAGAATGATGAATTGCAGGTAAGATGAAGAAGGTTCTTCAGGTAAATTGCACCTCACTTCACTTGTTCCTACCGTCACCTGCTACGATGCTAACCCTCACACAAACCACCAGTAAATCATAGCAGTCACCTTCTTCTTTATTTGTGTCGACTCTTAAGTCTTTAATAACCTCTACCACTTGACACCAGTTGACCAAATAAGAGGTACCTTGAACGAAATCGGGGATGAGAGAGCTAAATCGGAGACCAAGTTTGTAGAGATTGGCACTCTACCTGTGTGTGTCTAGGGTTTTTTTTATTGGGGGTGACAGAAGGTTAGCGCAGGAAGATTTTGATGCCAAAACGACTTCATCATTGCTCGAAGAAATCCCGACGATCTCGATTCTCAAATCGCCTCTCTCTACAAACTTCTAAATCTCAAAATCGGCAATGAATCGAAAGCATTTCCCTCCTATATTCAAACCAATCGATTTTCAGGAACCAATCAATTCTCACATGAAATCGATTCATGAAAAACATTGGTTAATCGATGTTGTTCTACTTATCCCTAACGTCGTCATCTCCCACAGCAGGTGGTCACCTTTAAGTGTCTTCCTCTTCTCCCGTTGGCACTTGTTGGATGCTTCTCTTGCTGGTAGTGGTGGCAGCGGATAGATGTTTAAAGATGGGGATTTTAGGGCATATGTCTATGGATGAAAATGGAGATGCAGACAGGTTAATGTCGGATTTGAAAAGCATGGAGAAAGAGAGAGATGAGAGATGAGAGAGAGAGTATTTTTTTAATTCTTTTTAATTGTTGTAATAAAAGAAAATTAAAATATTAAATAATCAGGGGAAAAATCGTCTTTATAAAAAAGTTCAAACAAAATCGGACCAAACTCGCAACAAAATGAAAAGTTTGGACCTCTTGTGCTAGTCCAAACTTTTTTGGACCAAAGTGGCAATTTTCAGCTAACCACAGCGACCATTCGTGCAGTTTTGTCTAAACTATAATAGGTATAGTTTAGAGAATCAATTCATACTATTTTCTAGATCAGAGAAACAATACATGAATCAATCCATACATACTATTACTTTTCATTACAAAGTACACCATTCATTTACAAGAATAAGAAACATATACATACTATACGAAAACAAGTTAACTAGAATGTGATATACTTCTTCATGGTACTTAGCAACATTCTTGCTAAGTCATGTTTTATAACCAAAGTCTCCTAGAGGGAGAGCGTAAGTTTGTGTATAGATCTATACGGGACTAACAATCACATACCTTGTTGTTAGCTACAGTTGGGATCGACAGGTCTACGGGTGACAAATATCATATATTTTTCGACGCCTGAAGAACGTCGTGTTTTATACTAGTCAATTTAGTATGGTTATAACCTCATTCACATTAAATATTAACTAAACAATTCGGTTTACAAGACAAACATTTCTTCAGTGGTTTTATTTTAAACAAAACTACTAACATATATTATCTTCCATTCCATACACATAGTGATGTTCACACATGAACAAGGCATACAATTTTTCTGGTAAATATAGTTTACAAATATGGAAAACATACATTTATACTATCTCAAGTACAAACATACATTTATATTATTTCGAGTACAAACATACGTTTTACACCATTTCAAGATAACAAGGCAAACAAACAGTTGGGTCTTGGGTATAAGACTACTTTTCATTTTAAGTAGAAAATATAGGATTTTCTGGGAAGTATACTAACATTTTTATGAAACAAATACAAACATTAGACACTAAATACTTATGAACTCACCAACTTAAATGTTGATACTCTCTTTCAAAATAACTTGTATTCTCAGGGAACCAGTAGATAGGTACACGAGCACATGTTTTTTAGAAGACGGAGCATGTTCAAGACTCGTCTTTTATTTTTGCTATACGTTTTTGGTGTCATACAACTATACAAAGAACACACATGTATTAACTATACTATTAATGCAATGGTTGTTGTTGCTTGTTTTACTATTGTGTATTGTTATGATATTGTACGTGATGTCCTCCGCCCCCGCCATCTCGGTTTGAGGGTGTGACAGAAGACATGTTCCATTTCGGCAATCCACTTCATCATGACCTTTGGGTCTTTGTCACCTTTGAATTTCGTAGGACGGCACATCATAAAGTCTTTGATTCCACATTCACGCACTCATTTTGGTCCAACTAATGGTGCTTTTAGAGCAATAACTAGAGGTTGGGGTGGTGGAGAAGGTCCATGAGTGGATGACTCCGATTGGGCAACACCCTCGGGGGTGTCACCTTGATCCTGAGAGTCCGATAAATCCCTCATTCGTTCGTCAATCAATTGCCTCATTTCAATTCGGCTTTGTTCTCTGTGGTCATGTAGAAGCTTCTGGATTGCCTCAAGAGTGACCGGAGGGGAATGGAGCTCACCATCATTGTTGCCTTGGTTGACCACTCTAGGTGGCCTATTCACAAGAGGCCCTTGATTTGGGGCTTGTCCTCGTCCTTCATCACGGGATGTTTGACTCGTTCGCGTCATCACGCTACAATACTTCAACACTTTAGTATACATCATTATCCACATATCTATATTAGTAGATTTCAACCATTAGCATAACATTTCCTAAGACATGCAACTTCTAACAACATTCATAGCAAAGGTCTATCCCATATTTCACAAACCCACTTCATAGTTCCACCGATTTTGAGTATGTATCATGTGTTTGCCTTGGACTACTTAAGATTTCATTCTTTTATATGATATTTCCTTAATGTCAATATGATTTCTTTTT